ATGCCTGGGGTTCTTAAGTTGATTCTGTATGTAAGTCAGAACTGGCGGTCAGTTTCAGCAGCGGCTGAATCTGGACGCCAGTTCCTACTTACATACAGATTCAACTTAAGAACAAACCTACTGTCCCTATCTTGTACGTAACCCGGGGACTGCCTGTATCTCCTAGGAGGGAGGGAGGGAGGCAGGCACGCACACACACAGTATCCCCTCAAATACCTCCTTCCCCAGCAGTTTACTCTTTTTGGCGGTCAGTTTCAGCAGCGGCTGAATCTGGACGCCAGTTCCTACTTACATACAGATTCAACTTAAGAACAAACCTACTGTCCCTATCTTGTACGTAACCCGGGGACTGCCTGTATCTCCTAGGAGGGAGGGAGGGAGGCAGGCACGCACACACACAGTATCCCCTCAAATACCTCCTTCCCCAGCAGTTTACTCTTTTTGCCAACTTGATATATGGAACCCAAAGTTGAGTGGGGGCCAATCAGGGGGCTTACATACCTACAATACATTTTATTTGATAAAACCAAAGTTAATACCTCTTTAAAAACTCAAAAGGTGTCTGATTCTAATATTTGCATCTATTTGACATTTTATCTCTGTACTTTCTCAGTCTCAGACGTAACATTTTTCTTGGAAAATATTTTCAGGTTACACAATGGTTGATTTCAGTTAATATAAGCAATAGGCCTGGTTATATTACACCACTTTGTACATGCTTATTGAACAGGAGCACCTGCAGTATGAAAAATGTTTATCTAGTCAAGGTCTAGACTCCACACATTTACTAAGAAATTTGGACAGAACAAAAAAAAAAATAAATTGACTGCCCTTGTATTAATATAACAATGGCGTATACCTGTAGGCTACGTCTACACTGGTATGATTTTGCACAAGATCTCTTTTGTGGAAGAGTTCTTATGCAAAAACTCTTCCAGAAGAGAGCGTCTACACTGGCATGTGCCTTTGCGCAAGAGCATCCATGCCAGTGTAGACGCTCACTTGCGCAAGAAAGCTCTGATGGCCATTTTAACCATCGGGCTTTCTTGCGCAAGAAATTCATGTTGCCTGTCTACACTGGCCTCTTGCGCAAGAACAGTTGCGCAAGAGGGTTTATTGCTGAGCGAGAGCATCATAGTTCTTGCGCAAGAAGCACTAATTTCATACATTAGAACGTCAGTGTTCTTGTGCAAAAACTCGCAGCCAGTGTAGACAGGAAGCAAGTTTTGGCACAAAAGCGGCTGCTTTTGCGCAAGATCGCATCAATGTAAACACAGCCATAGAGTTTATTCCACTTCCTGCATATAGGAATTAGCTATACTGGAATAAGTCACCTTTATAGTAACCTAGTCTAAACTAGTTGGATTGGTTTAACCATACCAGTATAGTTAACTGCCATAAAACTTTTAATTGGACCAGTAATCCCAAATTTAAAATCAGTCCAAAGAACCTGTATAATAGGCTTGAACCAACATAACAGCAAAAGATCAGTCTTGCTAATAAATATAAAAGATCAAAGGCTAATTGCAGGTTCAGAAAAAAATTCCATAGTACCTGTATCACAGGGGTGGGCAATAATTTTTGACTGGGGCGGGGGGATGGTGACTCCAAGATTTTGGAAAGTGGTCAAGAGTTGCACTTTTCTATGGTGAGGGTGCAGGGTGTGGAATAGGGTTAGGTGCAGAAGGGATCTTGGGGTAGGAGAGTGGGGTGCAGGAGAAGGTGAGATTCTGAGAGGGAGTTTGGGTGAAGGAGGGGGTTGTGACATGGGGCAGAGGATTGGTGTGCAGGGTCTGGGATGGAGTATGGGTGCAGGACAGGATTCTGGCCTGGAGGAAGGGCATAGGAAGGGATGTGTACAGTCTGGGAAGGAGCTGGGTTTGGAAGGGGATTGGGTGCCAGAGGCAGGCTCTGGTCAGGAGAAGCTTACCTAAGCAGCTCCTGACCAGCAGCACTCTCAAGCAGAGTTCCCTGCCTGCCAGCAACTCCCTGTTGGCTGTTCTATGTGGCCCTCTGTTGGATGGGGAGGGGAGGAGCCTTCATGCACTGCCCCTACACCCAACAAAATCTCTCAGCTTCCATTGGAATGTTTCTGGCCAATAGGAGCTGAAAGATTTTGCGGAGTGGGATGAGATGGGGAAGCAGCGCACAAAACCTTCCCCCTCAGTGCAGAGAGCAGCTAGCTATTTTGAATAGCACTGCTCCATGGTGCAGGGGCAGGAGGGACAGATTAAAAAAGGCATGGCAGGATGGATCTGGCCCGAGGATGGATCTGGCCCGTGGGCCAGACCCTGCCCACCCCTGCCATATCACCACAGACTCCCTATGTAAAAATCTATTAGTCTCTTCTGCTCCATCTACATGAGAATAACCAGTACTTTCTTAATGTACAGTGATATTTTATGAGAGCAAGTATATAGGAATGATGGATCAGAAGTATCTGAGTGTCAAATTCACGTGGAGAAGATGGCCTCATTTCACATTTACCTGTGATCTTTGAGCAAGGATCTAAATTCAGGACTTTATAATCCCCTCAATCCACAGACCGTCCACTGATATCAAAGGGAAGTTTTCACAAATATCAAGGAGAGAATATAGTCTTATGTATTATATAAGAAACTAAACTTTTTGTTTATTCAACCGTCCTTTGTCGCATTCAGTTACCTCAGTGAGAAAAAACTGCTCCCTTTAGACCATTGCTATTTATGCCTCTCTTCCTTTACCAATTCTCTCTGCATTACTCTCCTACTTCCTTTTCTTTGGGTCCATCTATTTTCAAGCTGCAGCTGTGCTACGATAGTGCTATAGCATAGATACTTCCTGCAGACAAAGGATTTTTCCATCATTGTAGTTAATCCACACCTGAGGTGCAGTAGCTAGGAGGATGGAAGAATTCTTAGAATTAGCTATTCCCACACATAATACAGAAGTCACATTTTCTCAAGAACACCCAAATAAGAAAAGAAATCAATATTACAAAATGGAAGAACTAATAGTTTTGTAAATCAAACAAGATAAATAAACCTGGTGTATCAACACATTGTACTTCCTTCTATTAATAGACTTCAAAGAAGGAATAAGTTAGGAGTAGGCTATTTTGGATTCAACATGAGCAGGTGGCCTGCACAGTGCTGACATGAAACTGTGAAATAGTACCAATTTAAGCTCCAATGCTGTAGTATGTTCATGTTTACCTTTTTGTTTCAAGTTAAGAATCACGGATGTTTTGTTGTGCAATGCACATTAACAGCACTGAAGTTGCATTATCATCTAGCTACCTGTCCTACAGTTCCCGCACAACTCCGACAAGTAATAGCTTATGCATAAAATTTCAAGAAGCCTTTTATGATACCTCAAGGACCTAGGAGAATTCCCAGAAATACCATGCTGTCCATGTAATTTCCTAGTCCTTCTCTCAAAGTAGAGGAAAGACTTCTTAATGGACTCTGAATAGCCATTACAACGTAATGGACAGTGTTATGAAAGTTTCAGAGGGGTAGCCATGTTAGTTTAACTGGAAAAAAAGTAAACACACAATGAATAGTCCTGAAGCACCTTAGGGTATGTCTAGACTACATGCCTCTGCAAACGAGGTTTACAGGATCGGTCAGCAAAGGCTCTTCTTGTCGACCGATCCCCGTCTTGACTGCTGGTTTGTGCCAACAAACAGCTGAGCCGGCACAACATAGCGGCCATTTTTATTCTAATGAAGCAGGAGATATTTAAATCCCCACTTCATTGACTATGTCGGTATGACTAATTTACATGCCTCTGTCGGCAGAGGCATGTAGTCTAGACATACCCTTACAGACTAACAAAAAATGTAGATGGTTTGTACTTCTGTGGGCACAACCCACTTCTTCAGATGAATGGAGTTACCCTTACTTCTGAGCTGCTGCTAGGGACAGCCCTACCTTCAAAAATGGGCACCAGGAGAATGGCAACTGCTGGCCGGGATTTGTGATGTTCAAATTGATTAATCAACTAATCCAGTAGTCGATGGAATTTCCATCAACTATTCGATTAGTTGATAAGGGTGTTTCCACTTTGAAATGTAGCAAAAGCCAACCCAGCTGCTGCTACATTTCCACGGCAGAGGTGCTGCACGGTGTTCCACCTTTGAAATGTTCAAAGATGGAAATGCCGCATGGAACTTGGGGCCAGAGGGGACTTTGAGACTCCCATTGGCCCTGAGCTCCATGCAGTGCTTCTGCTTTGAAATGTACAAGAGCCCCAGGAAGGACTCTTGTGCATTTCAAAGATGGAACACCTCCACTGCCCCCCTAACCCCTCCCATGGAGCTGGGGGGAACTGGCTTTTAAACCAGTGTAGGGATAACATATTAATGTATTAAAAATGTGATTCCCCCAAATGGAAGTGACTCCCCATAATTTGTTCCCCACAACTTAAAGTGTTTAGATTTATTATTAATTCTTCTTATTATTATTAGTTAAGATTGTTAAATGTTTAGATTTATTATTATTATTGCCCCTTTAGAATATAATGTATTAGGTCATGTAACTTAGAACTGTTAAGAATATAATCCTATGTAGCCAGAAACAGCTCTAAACTATGCTGGTGTCTCTCTATAATCCCAGGGTGGAGGGGAGGCTGCTTTGGCAGTAGCTTCTATCCATGCCCAGTTCTAGCCTGGGCTGCCATGAAGAGGGGCTGCTGGACCCAGTGCAAGCCACCGGGCTCTTACTACCTTTAAAATTCAGAAGCGCAGCGGTCTCAGAACTGGCGTGAGCCGGGACTGCGCAGTCCTGACTCGCCAGTTCTGGGAGCTAACCCTGCTGAAGCTCTGAAAAGAACCTCCCCTTATCAACTAACCGTGTAGTCATTACAAATTGTATCAGCTACACAATTAGCAAACTTGTTCCTTAACATCCTTTGTTCATACAAATTTTTCATTACTACAAAATGTAGGGAGAGTTCAGCTGTATGATTGATAAGCAGCTGTAGCACAATGGTGAACTATAAGATCCTGGGAAAATAAAAGCAAAATGGAAATACATTTGTGGACCCTCAACACTGTTCAATGACTAATGCTGCAAAATATATCTTTTTGCTAAATTCTGTATAACATGGATTAGACCAAAGACAAAGTCCTCAGTGAAGACTGAGCTACCCAGACCAGCCTTGACCCATATACAAAACTAGCATCTGTACATAAGGGAATTGGCTATGGAGCAACAGTGTGACTCAAGCATGGATATCAGTTTTATGTATTCAACATACTTTAATTATGAATTAATTGTGAAATAGGTGATTTGTACTAGTTCAGTTTTATTTTTCAGATGGGGGTTATTTGCTGGATGGTTTTGGAATGGATGTGTGTTGTAATAAAGAGGAAGGTTACATGCAACTGTGGACTGGCTGGTTACAAACTAGAGTTAAGGTTGAGTCAAAAGTAAGTTAAACACATGAACTTTAAACTTTTATTTTCAAGGGCAATAAAATGGCAAGACAGAATGTCAGCTTTCAGTACAGGCTGCTCCCGATTTGCAACACGATCGGCTCTGGGGATAGCGTCGCAAGTCGGGGGCATCGTAACTCGAGCCTGCATTTATGACAGGTGTCGGACATCGTCGTAAATGTGGTGTCGAGGACGTAAGTTGGGGGATTTCATCCCCTTCCACACTTACGTAAAAGGTTATAAGTGCTGGGGGTCATAAATCAGGCCGTCGTAAAGCGGGGGCCTCCTGTATCTGAATTTTTCGTGTTGATGCAAACTGGTTTGATACTGAAAAAGTGTAAGTGTTCAGCAAAGCTTCAAAAAAAAAAGAGTTCCCTCACCTGTTTTCAGACATGCTTTGCCAGGAAAATGAACAATGGGATATATTCTTTACTATTTTGTTCATAGGCACATGTGGAGCAGTTTTATATAAAGGACCTGTTTGCGTTATGATTTTTCACTTTTTTGTCAGAGAAATGCAACAAGTCAAATCACTGAGTGCAACAGTGATCCTGCAATAGCTGCTCAAGATAAAAAAAAAAATTGTATCTGGAGGTCTAAGAGAGAAGTTAGAGATATTTGATGGGAAAGTCCCAAGGGAGATTTCCTGAATTAGGAAAGAGACTCTGTTCAACCCTTACCTTTACTAACTACATTATAATCCCATGTACCTCACTGCTATTATTGAGCAAGGCTATGATCTCCAACTTGGAGTGCATGGCCCCTCAATATGCCAACATCTCGATGGCTGATCTTAAACAACGTTTTCTCAGTTCTCGCTCTCTAACACTGTTACTCTACTTATGCTACACTGATGACATCATCATCATCATCATCATCTGGACCCACAGGAAAGAGACCCTTAAAGAATTTCATAGGGATTTCAACAACTTCCACCCCACATCAACCTCAGCTTGGATCAGTCCACACGAGAAACCCACTGCCTTGACACTAGAATACAATTACAGGACAGACACATTTCCACCACCTTATACTGGAAACCTACCGACGGTTACACTTACCTTCATGCCTCTAGCTTCCATCCAAGGCACATTTCTCAATCTATTGTTTTCAGCCAAGCCCTAAAATACAACTGGATTTCCTCCAATCCCACAGACAGAGACAAACATCTACACAGAGAAGTGGAAAAAAAAAACCCAGATCAACAGAGCCAAAAGAGACATGAACTACAGGCAGTCCCCGGGTTACGTACAAGATAGGGACTGTAGGTTTGTTCTTAAGTTGAATCTGTATGTAAGTCGGAACTGGCGTCCAGATTCAACCACTGCTGAAACTGATCAGTTTCAACAGCGGCTGAATCTGGAGGCCAGTTCTGACTTACATACAGATTCAACTTAAGAACCAACAGAGCCAAAAGAGACATGAACTACAGGCAGTCCCCGGGTTACGTACAAGATAGGGACTGTAGGTTTGTTCTTAAGTTGAATCTGTATGTAAGTCGGAACTGGCGTCCAGATTCAACCACTGCTGAAACTGATCAGTTTCAACAGCGGCTGAATCTGGAGGCCAGTTCTGACTTACATACAGATTCAACTTAAGAACCCCAGGTATCCCCAAGTCAGCTGCTGCGGAAACTGATCAGCAGCTGATTCCAGGAAGCCCGGGGCAGGGGGGTCCCGTAGGCAGCCCC